AAAAAAAAAAACGTGTTGACATACTGTACTTACTGCTTGGACTCACTGTGGCAAACTTCCAACGTAGGGTCATTGTAAATGAAAGGAGCTTCAAGATCATTGATTCGAACCCTGTAGATACGGCATTGTTTACTGTTCAACTTGATCCTGTTAAGGTTGGCTACTGTAGGGATTATGGTCAGCTCAACATAGCCCTGAGTGATTAAAAAGAAAAAAAGAGGAAGAACAAAAAAACATTTAATTTAGTCAGGGGGAAAAAAACAGCACAGACTAATGTCCGGAAAATACAGTAATTGATGTTACTAAAATATTACAACACAGCTCTTATTATGATGCAGTACAGTTTGACACCACTGCAAACTACAATCAAAATGACTGTAATAAACGATGTTTAATAAATGCCGCTCTGATAGTATCAGTGAAAATTGGGGAAAATCATTATACTATGCAAGTATTCATGATGTTGCAGTCTGGATGTGGTACAAGTTTAGCCTTGTTGAGGTTTATACTCACAATTACAGATTTTCTCTGGAAGTTGATATTGTTGATGCACACAACCTGGTGGGTCGTAAAAGAAAATGCATAATGACATTACATAACTTTATACAAATAAAATACAATATATCGTGGTGTTTTCTAGTCATCTAATGGGAATAGTAATACATTTGTAAGCAACATTTTAACTCTCGTTAATCTATGCATGCGAACAAAGTTAAGATACTTATAATTTAAAAGGCCGTGGACTCTCAAATCCTTTATCCCTTTTTCTGTTCATCTTCGTTTCGTTGTCAGCTCAACCGCGTCTCATCACTGGAGTCGTCTTGGTGGCTCGTACGGTGCAATAAATCTCTTCTAGATCAGGGCAAACAAAGCTCCTAAGAAACACAACGAGATAAAAAGTGATTCGACTCCACGCTCAGCATTAAGTGACCGCTCGATGCACATATATACTTGTTGGACCCACTCGGAATTGTTCAGAGATCACGACTCCAAGTGGATTTGCTCCATTCACGATAAACGCGTCCAGGCATTTATGTCAGCAACAACTTGCAAAAGTGAATTACAGCCAAAGAGTTCTCTATAATCTTAGAATCGCGACTGCAAAACTCCATCGTTTTACGCCATTTTAATTTTTCGGTCTCTGGCGCGAAAAAAAAGACTATTCTTTGCAAAAACTGCGCTTTCCTACTTGCAGCATTTCTGTAAACAATGTGAATCTCTCGACGACAACAAGATACAACAAGATGCAATAAGGTTTATTCCAAGACGATGGAGATGAGCCTTCAGCAGCGGAAGTCGTACGGCATCCCAATTGGGACAAAATAAGCCGCGAGACAAGCTGTATTCGTAAAAAGTAAGGCAATAGTAATGGAAAGAATACTATTTATTATGTTGGAAT